GTTTGGAAGTAAATAGAAACCACAAGAAAACTTATATTTACAATGAGGCGGGTGAAATGTCAGATATATGTAATGAGAAAAGGGGGTATAGAGAATTTAATACACGTAGGACATACTGAAGGCAAGAGAAACAGAAGAGGTTGTAAGTTTATGTGAATAAATAGCAGAACATAGTGGTTGGGGCGGGGATGACCGTAAAAGGTTGAAAATTAAAAAAAAGAACAAGAAATGCCACGAAATTTGGAAGACTCATGATTGCCCATGGCCTGCGAGGCCGAGAACTTTTCACCACTTTATTCATATGTCAACTTCCTTCCAAAATCTTGTCGTATGTAACCATTCACTGAAGAACTCGTCTACCCACATGAGAAGAAGAATTTTGGCTGGTTGAGTTATCTATGATGTCAGAGGTCAGTGTTCAAGCCTGTGTCAAAGGTGGTATTTTTAATGTTAATCTTGAAACTATTTATTTTGGCAACACTACGTGGAAGATTAACGCAACATAATCTTACTGTCTATGTTTCTCCTTTATCTGTCCCTCTAACTTACAATGCAGAGTCGGGTATATATTGATATCTTTTTTTTTATGCATTTACAAGGGGGGTTATTCAAAAAGCACCCGGGGGATAATGGGATTAGAAGAACCAGAAGATACACTGAAAATTGATTCATAAAGAAAGAAAATTGGGAACGATAATATTTTTTGATTTTTATACACGTATCTAGTTTAATGAGGAAGAGGGGCTCGGAAAAATTAACACTCACGGGACATATTGAGAGCAAGAGAGATAAGAAATGGTAGAGAGCCACTTGAGTGAAAAGCTTGTGTGAATGGGTGGCGAAATGAGGCGGGGTGCGGGTACTGGGCCTCCGTGGCTGGGTCCTTAGTAAAGTGAGAAAAACTACAAAGAGCCACACGAGATAGAAAGTTGTGGAGAGCCATGATCGCCTATGTCTTGAAAGGGTGAGTACATAGAAGAAGAAGAAGAAGAAGAAGAAAAAAAAGAAGAAGAAGAAGAAGAGTCTGTATTTGGGATGAAATCAGCGAAACAGTAAAAATAGCAGCGTAATCATTTAACGTTGCACGACTACCCTTGGAAAAGGTAAGAATTCATCTCTTCCCCCTACAACTATGGGTTAAATAGAGTAGACTGCGTTCTCTAGCCTTGCATGGAAATCAGTCTGGTAGAGAGATTGGTTTACTTTGTACAGATTTTATCAACCTTTTGCAGGTTATTTAAAGCCAGAAGATATTTTAGATTGTAAGAATTGACGGGAGATAATAATTATTTACTAATATAGTTCATATTAATAAAGCCACAGCTGGGGAGGGGGTTTGAAGAAGAAATGATTCATACCTTTTATAAGGGTATTTGCGTGTAAGTGAATATAACTAACCAAACTGGGATTTGAACTCAGCTCTTCGATTTTGAATACTGAGCCATTATTCATTACACCAACTGCACGCCCAACATTAGAGCAACTGTTATTTCCTACTGGTCACCTTTCAAAACCGTGGAGAAAACAAAAGGGAAAACAACTCGACTATCTTATATCCAGGTTACACTGTACTTAGTACAGTGTAACCCGGATATAAGAGAGTTGTCGGGACCGGAGAAGAAGTCTCTTATATCCGGGTTTCACTTATATCCGGGTTTGGTCTATTTATATACATAACACAGGTTCTAATTTGGGACCAGAGAAAATCTCTCTTATATCCGGGTTTCTCTTATATCCGGGTCTCTTATGTCCGGGTTACACTGTAGTAATGGTAGTTCACAGATAATAAAGAACAGGAAAATGTGGAGAACCATGATCATGTAAAACGACATATTTGCTTGTATATAAAGCATCTCTCCATTTACAGTTAATATTACTGTACTATAAAATTAGGTTTTATGGCAAGTAATGGTTGTCTATAAAGCACTAGTAAAAATTAATTTAGCAGATACCTTATATTCTTATACAAGAGAGGCGATATATTTTGAAAGTATTTTCTTTGAGGAGAAAAAAGTTCTCATCTGCTATTAAATGCAGTAATTAAATCTTTCTTTTTTCGTTTTTGGATATCTCATGTGAACAAGGAAGCCAGGACAGAAAAAAAAAATACTTAATCTTACCCATTTTCTTATCCCACCCATTTTCTTATCCTAACCTGCTCAAGAGCCAATAAAATGTATTTCGGAAAGATGGTGTAAATCATGTTTAAAATAAAGAAAATGAAATTTTAAAGTCTTGTCACGATTCATTTCGTGGGGAAGAAATTTCTTAATCGGAGTGTAGTTGGAAAAAAAATGTGTACGAATCGAAAAGACACGAACGAAACTCCTGTGTTTACGATGATATATAATTATACTATTTGTGTCTGGAGGTTAGGTCAGACAGACAGAGACGTATATTGGTATCACTCTGTGTGCATTTGAGTGTACATATGCTAGTCGGCGAATCTTACTATCTGTAGCCGTCGCTGTGCGCTAGTTTACAAGTTAGAATCTCCAAACATTCACTATGTTTGGACGTTGTGTCAGCTGAAATTCTCTTTACTTATCAGTCCGTTCCTAGTTCTATTTATCTCTATATTTATTTTATACTCGATGGCGTAATCATAAAACCTAAAACAAAAAAAATATCTTATATATAAAGTGAGCGTATGTGTGTGTTTGTGCGTGTCCAAGCAACTCCTCCACTTCCACTGATCCGATTTCAGTGATTCATAATTCATTCAAAAGCCATAGAAAAGTTTGGCGCAGGAAACATTTTCTTTGAGCTCAGATTCAGGGTTGCCAGATTATGCGAGGTTAAAAATATATATTAATATATTATACTAGCCATTATCGTTGATTTCATGGTTCAAGGGGAGTAACTCTTATTTTCCTTTTGTATCCAAAATTGTGGTGCACATTTTATTATAAACTAGTTTAAAAGCCTCCCTGTGGGGCAGCATTTAAGTTAGCTTCTGTGGAGGAATCTTTGTTTGGCCATCATTACAATAGCTAGGGAGGAGTAGATAATTCTTTTGCTGCCATTTAATTTAAAGACGATTTGATGCACGTAGATCCTTATTTTCCATACAATTAATTTTATTTCATGGGTGACAGAACAGGGGACAATTTATAGGACAAACTTAATACAGTGCAAAGATGGGAAAATAGAATTAGTCATACATTCAACATTTGAAGAGTTAGAGAAACATATTTGCTAATTAAGTAAAACCAATATTATGGAATCTATATGAATAAACGCGAAATTGGAGCTCAATTCTCTCAAATTTGCCTGCTAACATCTGCATCATATATATTATCTACTTCTAGGCAATATCACTCTTCAGGTTTAAGTAATTGATTAAAAAAAAACGTTTATTTCATTAATTAACTGTCCTTCATTACTGTTCTTTTATTTGAGGATTGTTTTGATTTGCATATCAAAAATAGTTCTGTTTAGTAATATTGTTGAAATTTTGCAATTTACTTGGCCTTCAACAAGTTGGCATCTATTTATAAAACTTTCCTTAACTATAACAAGCAATTTATGAATGAAATGTTAATTTAAAATTTTTGTTTCAAATATTTCAAGTAGTGAATATATCTTAGTTTGTAATGCGATAGCAAGCGGGCGAAGCCTGTTACTCTAAGATAAATATTTTTTTCGCTTACGAACTAATATATATATATATTCAGTCTGTATAATTTTAAAGGTGCATTGAAGTAGATTAAGGGTAGATACAGGTTGGCGATCAATAATCCGGCAGTCAGTAATCCGGTTTAATCGAGAATTTGGCACTCATTTCCATTGGAGTAATTTCAAATTTCCTTGGTCGCCTCATGAAGCTAACAACATTGTTTGGTTGCGTTAACTGCTGCATCAGTTATATTTTAGCATTTTCAAACACGGGTAAGACATTTATACCCCTTTTTGATACCCTTGTATTATAAGCTTTTTGTTTTTAATTTTAAAGTCATAGCTTTAATGACTACAGGAAGTAGTTGAAGCGAAATCCACATGCGTTGTCCATAACATGTAAAGCCGAACTTAAAAAAAAAAACAAAAAACAAAACAAAACAAAACAAAAAAATAGAAAAACTGAATAGCGGCGTGTCTAGTCGAAGCTGATCTGATTGGTTCATTTACTACATATGACATGAAGTAGCAGAGATAAATCACTAATCTGGATTATCGTAATTCCCCATGTATAATGCGCACATTTTTTCTTTAAAAAAATCAGCAAAATTAGGGGTGCGTATTATGCACAGCTACAAAATATCTTTAAAATTTGCTGTTTCGTAGGTTGATTTCAGTTGCGAAATGACTATTCACCCCAAACATACGACAATTTGACACTAACATTCGGCGATTGCGACCCCATTCTGATGTCAAATACAATCATATGTTCCTAACAATACTTACAAATGCAAAATGCAAAGAATTGTCATAAAACTAAATTAGAATAATATTATTCTATGTTTAAATCCATTTTTAATAACAGTAGGAAACGCTGGCTTTAATGAAATTGGAGAGGTACAATTTATAGGGTTTGATTATCAAACAAGGGGAGCGTATTATGCGTGAGTAGAAGCGTTTTCTCACACTGTCAGCACAATTTTAGGGGGGCATATTATGGATGAAGGCGTATTATGCGTGAGAAATCACGATAGTGATGGTCACTCTGAACGTCAAAAATGCAAAATCATAAGCAATGCAAAAGCATACGTGTAATGTTCAGGTGAATTAAAATATTGTGACGTTATCCTTTACACTCGATTGATTGATTGATCCGTTTTTACGGCTTATCAACCTTTTGCAGGTTATTTAAAGCCAGAAACTATTTTTAGATTGCAACGATTTTGTTCTTGGTGACAATAATAATTTAGTGATACAAGTCTTACTAATTAACCCATAGCTGGGGGAAGAAGAGGTGGATTCAAACCTTTTCCCAAAGGTAATAAACCCAACTGGAATTGGGATTCGGCTCTCCGATTTTCAAATTCCAAGCCATTATCCATTACACCAGCTGGTATTCTCAAACGGTTACCCATCTATGTACTGACCAGGATCGACGTTGCTTAACATCGCTGATCGTACGGGGAACTGATTTTTCAGCATGGTATGGCCGTAAGCCGTACTGAAGTGAGGAAACATTTTGCAAAGGATGTAACTATCAAATGTAAGAATTGTCCTGTAACACTTTGTATTGTTACTTGCTGAAAAGGATTGAATGAAGAAAAACAAACATTTAACCTATAGATAATTAATAAGCAAAGTTTTAGTACCCCACCAAATCACCCATCCAAAGAAATAGACAAGCAACAAGTGATAATATCTCCCTTAAGAAGTAATAGTCGGTAAAACTAGCCTGCAAACGACTATTCAACGACAGTGCTTCCATTTTTTTATTAACTTTAGTCTGGCACAAGGTGGCAAATGATGAGCATTTAGTAAGAACAGAAATTTTAGAGACTTAACTTTATTTTACAACAAATCGTTCACTAAGTGCTATGGTTAGTATGGCACAAGGTAACGAGTGTGGAGCATCTAATACGATAAGAACTCATTACAGTAGTAATAAATTCTAAATCCAGACAGGAAACCGCTATTTCACGACGGGTGTTCCATTAAGGCAGTGTTTACCAAACGTTTTTCCTCTAGGCGATATTTTCAGTATTAAAATTTGTTCGCGCCTCTTCAAATTTTATGTGATAAAAAAGTACATTAAAAATAAAAAAAGAGAGAGGTTCAAAGGGAGATAACTGCAGATTCGAAGTCGGAACATTATAATTGATAATTCTCTTCTCCAATTTGCAGACCCTAGTTACTATATTCTTAATACTTGATATAATACAAAAATATCGCAATGATAAAATCGGTCAATAATTATTTATACTGGGACTCAAACATGCAATTTTGATTCTCCAAGCGTAGCTCAGATGTGGCACAAGGCCGAAATTATTGGGTACCCAGTGAGGATCGAACTCACTACTCAGTCGTAATTGTTCTAGCGAGACAAGCTTGCTAACGATTACACCACATTGAGGTGTCCAACTCAAGCATGCGATTACAACTAATCCATAATAATATTTTAATTTTTGAAATCATATTTATTTTTGTTGTATGAATTTTTTGAAACTGTTTCTAAATCTTTGATTGTCTTTTAATCATTCCGCCTCACCTGCTATCCTTTTCCGCCGCGCCTATGAGGCACGCCTCACCGTTTCGGAACCACTGCATTTCCGAATGTTAGTTTGATTTCAAAAGTGTATGTCACCTAGTAAGGATCGAATTCACTACACTAGTAATGGTCTATTGGACTAATCTGTAAGTCTCTATTTATTAGGTAGTAATCTTAGATTATCACGAGACTGCGCGTGTGGGGCACTTGGTGAGGATAGAACTCACGATGGTAGCGAAGGTCTATAAAACTAGTCTGCAAACTGCTATACCTCATCTGCGCTCCTATTTAGCTTAGACTGTGAGAAAACCAGGAATCTGTTGCAGCTATTGAGGAATGAACTATGGCAGTAACTTGATAATTGTTATTCACATGAAATTTTCCCAAGTTTTATTTAATCTGAAACAAAACAGCAAAAGTATTTTGGGCTCCCAGTAAGGATCGAACTCAAAACAGTTTTAATAGCCTATGAAACTAGCTTACTAGCCATTGTTCTGTTGAGAGGCGATATTGTAATAAATTCACCCAGCTTATCTTAGTGCACACCTACAATTATAAGGCGTTCAATGAAGATCAAACTTACTATAATTGGTAGCCACTGTTCCATATCGATACGTTCTTGTGATATATTGTAGGAAAATTTCATTATTTATTAGCGAATTTAATTTTCAGTTTCTATAATTAAGAAGCAAGTTCGGTTATCGTATTTTTCTATTTGCTTCATTCCTTCGGGACATGGCTCTCTACAAATTTCTATACCTTGTGGTTCTAAGCAGTTTTTCTAATTTTGATATGGCTTGGTTCCCGCCTTCCGTTCCGTTATTCACACTCTGAGGTACTTTGTAAAAGGCAAAAAATAAGGATTTTATTCTGTGACAAGAATTTATATATAAGAGCGAAAATGTTATTGGTTTTTCAAAGTTTTTCGTATCAGTGTGCTAATGAATATTCATGATGTTAACAGAAAAGTCATGCAAGTTCATGGATGTAAGGTGATACATTTCAATGCCTAATAAACGAAGGTAAGTAGGAGGATTTTTGTGTGTGTCTATATATATATATATATATATGTGTGTGTGTGTGTGTGTGTGTGTGTGTGTGTGTGTGTGTGTTTAGACAGCAATCTTCTTTCATGCACATTTCATGGAAAACGACAGACAAGGTGCTTTTATTTAGTTTTTTTTTATACAATTTCTCATGCGATCTAATAATTTTTTTCTTTTCGGGTGATAAATTATATAAAATCTGTCCGGATGTTCTTTTTATCCGAGCGCTTTCGGCTATACATTTAGCCATTTTCAAGATTGAAATATTGTAACTGTTAGAATAAGAAATAGTTTGTTGAAGTCATACATCGCATAGCACCGCAAATAACATTAATAACATTTTCACTCTTATATATAAATACTTGTCACAAACTATTTCTTATTTTAACAGTTAAAATATACGGGTATCCACTAAAAATAACGTTTGGAGTAATAAAAATATGTCGGATTAAAAAGTAAAAACCATATATATATATATATATATATATATATATATATATATATATATATATCTCAGTTTATCTTGCCATAAAAAACTAAACCACTTATCCCACCCTTTGATCTCATTTTTCTATTTTTGCGTAGATCTAACCTTTTACATCTAGACATACCCACAACTATATTTTTAATTCTGACTTAAATCTGCACGCCCTTTAACCTCTGAAAAGAGGCAAGATTAGTTTTTAAATTTCCCTAATAAATCATTTTTATCACAAGTTATTTACCATCGTCTGAGGAAGTACAATCATAGTATTGAAACATCAAAGCTTTTGAGTAGCGATGTAAAATATGTATTTATTATAATCTATTATAATAAAAACATTATAATATATATATATATATATATATATATATATATATATATATATATATATATATATATATATATATCAGGAAAGAAAAGGGAGAGAGGGGAGGGAGGAGAGAGACATCCTATTATATGGATAAATACAGGCTGTCACGCTTTTATATACTCCACAGAGAGATATCCACAGAGGTCGTCAGGCGCATGAACGCCCTCACAGGAATGTATAAACTTGTAAATACATATACGCACATTAACATTTCCATCACACACACACACATATATAAAAACGGCGTTTCTTGAACGCGCACACACACACACACACACGGGCGCATATGTACACACGGAGAGATGGACGTAAACGCTTGTGATGATGAGAGAATCGTCTCTCCAGTGGCGCTCCAGGCATTAGTTATATTACATTGTTCATTTCGCCCTTGTGACACTTACGTGTGAGAAGAGAAATAGTCAAATTACATTCCGCACATCAAAAACGAAATAATATTTTACTGATTTTTTTGCCTTATCTTATTTTTCAGATACGCACAATTCCTTTCAGCGTTTCTTTTGCGCACTCTTTTTTTTAAAAATCTTAGGATGCTTTTAACTGAGTTACAAATACACTTCCTATAATTCGACAGTCAAAAGTGTGACTTTCTTTTAATTCGAACAAGACTTGATGAACAGGTTTTATTACCAATTAGATATGTGAATTATTCAGCCCTACAAGTTGAACGCCGAGTTTGGCCTGTATCTAAATAGGTGACTGCTTGAGAAGGAATACTAGTTGTTATAAGCGTGCGTCTGGTGTAATGGACAATGGCTCGGAAATGAAAATCGGAGAGTCGAGTTCTAATTCCAGTCAGGACGTTATATTCACTTACCTGCAAATATTCTTAGAGAATATATGAATCCATTATTCTCCTCCCAGGTATGGGTTAATCAGTAAAACTTGTACTAGTAAATCATTATCTCCAAAGCTTATTTCAATCTAAAATATTGTCTGGTTTTAAATAAACTGCAAAAGGGTTGATAAACCGTAAAAACAAAATCAATCTTTCAGTTCATGTCAGTACCTCTTAGAAACAACGGATGCTGTAAGCGATATCATGCAATTTGAGATATGTTTCGGCTTTAAATAGATACGAAGGGTTGATAAGCCGTAAAAACTAATTACTTTTTAACACCAAATTTATTGTCTAAATATTTTAGCTGATTTAGGAAGTTTTTGATATGCTGAATCCAAAAATGACATTGGTTTTGCTCAATCAGGTCAACTTTTTGAGTTATGACCACATGCTATTTTATACGTTTTAGTTTACATTGTCGTGTCCATTAAAATATCTAAATATATTTCACACAATAAAGCTAATTATGTTAATTATAAACTCATTAATTTTAACCCATCAAAATTATTTTCAGACAAAAATAGCTACATAAATATTAAAACACGTCTCCAAAATATTTATAAACCAATAACACGCAATAAAGTGCTTACATCTCAAAAGGCACCAATTAAACTGTACAATACAAAACCATAAAATAAAAATTGGAAAGGTTGTTTTATTAGACATTATAATTTACGTATACCGCCAAAATATCGCGCGGACGTACCACATGACGTTTTAGGGCTAATTAGAAATGAATAAAATTATATAATTCGTAGGTCAATTTCTCAGGAATAACGGTATTAAAATCACAATGTTTAATTTCAACGAGAGAGTCTCTCAGATTTCACTAAGGACCATGTCGCTCTACTTGCTTATATTCAAAACTTCATTCGCTTCGACACACACGCTCTCAAGGAACAACTTAGCAGCACTGACCAAACCTCAAATGTACCGCCTTCAGACACCGTGGCCATCTTTTACGGTAAGAGCTTAATTCTATCTACTTTATATCCATTACGCATACATATACTATCTTATACAAGCACACTAGTAAAGACATTTCACGTTTCTCACATGCATGCACAATACAGTTTGTACTTTACACAAGAACCCTTTTAACAATAAGAAAAAAAAAAGACATTACTCATTTTTTTTATAAGCGTTTCACCCCAAGCAAGGCGAGAAGCCACTACTACGCAAGGGGTTACA